GTGTTCTTTAGTAGTTTTCTTTCTTCACTGTCTGGGTGTTGGATAGTAACTAGTTTCCTAAAGTAAACTGGGAAGTGACTTTCTGAAATGGATTGTGTATGGGACTAATAATTCTTTAAACATTTTACATAATTTTGAAGTGAAACTACTTGGTTCTAAAGGTTTGTTGTTGTTGTTGTTTTTCTAATGAATGTATTTAGATGGGGATGGGGATAAATACTTCATACTTATAAAGTCAAAGAACAATTCGTAGGAGTTGGTTCTTTCCTTCCACTATGTGGGTTCCGGGGATCAAATCAGCTCAGGTTATCAGGCTTGGTGGTGGACACCAGCTGAGCCATTTTGCAGGCTCCCTTGAAATTTATTTTAAAAGTATTTAAAATTGTGAATTCAGTTTCCTAAACATGAATTCAGATTGTTCAAATAGCCACTATTTCATAGTCTTATAAGTTTTGGTAATTTGTGTAGAAAGCAAATTGGTTTGCTTTGTTCAAATTATCAAATTTATGTGTGTCTTTGTGTCCTTCAGTACATATCTAGAGACTGTAGTGTGATAACATGTGTTATTTCATGAACAAGTTATATTTCTTCCTCCTAGTTCTCTTTTTAGTATCTTGCCAGAAGTTTGTTAATTTTACTGATTTACCCCTCTTCCTTTAGCTTCATTGCTTTTTTTTTTTTTTTTTGCTTTCCTATTTTATTTTTCCTTTCTTTTTATTCTTGTCTTTTTCTTCTGCTGCTTGCTGTAGTTTTATTTTGCTCTTTTTCGGGGTTCTTGAGCTGTAATTTGCTGATGTGAGACATTTGTGAGCACTCTTGGTGATATACATTCCTTTCACCACAGCTTGAGCTCTGCCCTATACACTTTGATACGCTATATTTTTATTTTCATTCAATTTAGTGTTTTCTCTAGTTTTCTTAGGATTATAACTTACTTTCCATTTAATAAACTTTTAAAAATAGTTCCTAGCTTGAGACTGTTAACTTCTCTATAAGTATTCTTGTGTATCTTTGTGTTTGCGCATGTTAATGTTGGCATGCGTACATGTGCCACAGTGTACATGTAGAGAGGTCAGTAAACATCAGCAGCCAGCCCTCACCTTTTATCTTGTTTGAGACAAGATCTCTTTTGTTGTTGGCCACTGTACCAGCTAAGCTTGCTGGCCCATGGACTTCTGAGGGTTCTCATATCTCTTCCTCTGTAGGAGCGCTGGGATGACAGAAGTACAGATTTTACATAGGGTCTGGGCTTCTTAGGTAGATTTCTATTGCTGTGATAAAGACTATGACCAAAAGCAACTTGGGAAATAAAAGATTAATTTCACTTATAACTCTCAGGTCACACACAGTTCATCATTGAGGCAAGTCAGGGCAGAACTGGAGGCAAGAACCTAGAGATAGGAACTAAAGCAAAACCCATGAGAAACTGCTTACTGGCTAGCTCCTCATGGTTTTCTCGGCCTGCTTTCCTAGAAATCCCAGGGCCATCTGCCCCCACTGGACTAGACCTTCCCACATCAGTCATTAATCAAGAAAATAAAAAGACTATAGACTTGTCTACAGGCCGTCTCATGCAAGCATTTTCTCAGTTGAGGTTCCTATTCCCAGACAATTCTAGCTTGTGACAAGTTGACAAAAACCAACCCACACAGGTTCTAAACTCAGGTCCTCACACTTGCTTAGCAAGTGTTTTACCTTCTGAGCCATCTTCCAGCCATTTGTATGCCTTTTTGTTTTCAAAGGCCTTATGCTTTTATTTCTCTGGGGAAATTCCTAAAAGTGCATTTATCTTTGGTTGTGTGTTTCTGAGACATCTGTTGATAATTTATCATAATAGTAATTGATAAAACTAGGCTTGCAGTGTCTTTGGATTATTTCCAAAGGTCTTTCGTTACAAATAATTTGAAAAACTCATTTGAAGTAGTCTCGGAAGGGATAGAGTTAGGTATTTATAGGAACTGTTCTTACACTGTGGACGATGAAAACTGCAGATGTGGTGAGTTTAAAATAAGACAAGAAGAGGAACTCTGATTTTAAACTATTCTCTTAATGGAGTGTGCTGCAAGGACATAAGCTGACTTAATAGTGGAAGACAGCAGGAAGGCTAGGAATGTCAGTGTGTCCATAGTAGTTTTGACTGCCATTTTTGTGGCTGTAAATGCAAAATTAGACCAGTTTTCCAGGATACATTATTTCAGTTGCTTAGATATAGCAGAAACATGTAGTTAGATAGAATTAAGCTTATTCTTTTCCAGTGTAACATGTGAGTTGAGGATCAATGGGTCTTAGCAAGGGAATGATTGAATGGCATGTTATGGAGCCCAGTTGACTAAAGAAGTAAAGGAGATGATGGATTGAGATGGTAGTAAATGGGTCAGTAAATTACAGGACCATGTGGATTTAAGAAGGAGGTAGACTGGGGATACTAGGCTGAATATAGTGCAAAAAAGGAAGGTTTTCAGAAATACAGCTTTCAGAAGCTGTGTGGGTTTTGGTGATTTACATTGTCTACAATATAAGGAAAATATCATTGAAGTTAAAGAAGTAAAGAAACACAGAGACCAAAAAAGATTGACTTTCTGTGTTTAGGTTGAAGTCACATGACCCACAGGCATAATGATGGATTAAAGAAGACAGTGAATCAGGTGCCAGAGTCATCAGTCTGTAAGTAGTGAGGGAGAACTTTGAGGGAAGTAGTTAATTCACAACAAGGATGATGGGTAGCAAAGTCTGAGACAACGGTTTTAAGAGAAACTGAAGTAGGGTGCAATGAAAAGAGGAAGGAGAGTGATTGCCATGAGGGGACCTCTACCCATGGCCTTAAACCTAAAATAAAGGTTTATGGTCAGTCACTCCTTGAGTTTAGTAGAGAAATATCTTCCAGAAATACCCAAGTTTCAGCTAGAATAAGAAAGTACATTCAGAGAGATTGAGCGATACTAAAGGAGGATCTAACAAAACATGAAGATATGAGATTTAAACTTGCTGTGTCCTCAAGTTCAACAACAGTACCAGTCGTAGTGGGACTGATGAGATTATTGATGGTATTTATAGTCTGCTGCAAGAAGGTAGCAAGTGTGCGACAGTTGAGAAAACGGCCAAAAAGTAAGGAGCCATTGAGATGTATTTCTGTTTTTTAAGGTCTTAAGTTTAAAGACCTTCTTTTGGCAAACATTTTGCCCAATCTACTGGATTTTTATTATTATTATTATTTATTGTAATAGCCAGGAGCTGAGAGTATTAAATTTATATATGTTCAATTTTTTGTTTGTGGGGTTTTTTTTGATTTTTTGGTTTTTTTTTTTTTTTTTTTTTTGCTTCGTGTTTTTAAAATGTTTATGTCATTTCTTGTTCTTATCCTCTGACATGCTCACTTATTCTCCTGAATGATTTAGATTCTGTGAGTTTTGTGACTTGACACTGTGATTTCTTGTCTGTTTCTTTAATTTTCTGTGTGTGTGTGTGTGTGTGTGTGTGTGTGTGTGTGTGTGTGTAAACGTTCTATTATTTTCATTTCTTTCTCTGTGTTTGATATACAAGACAGGATTTGGCATGTGTTTATTTTCTTGATAGCCCCAAATTTGAATTTTCAGGAATAAATTCCTAATGACAGGTAATAAAGTGTGGTGCTTTCATATGACAAGACATGATAACTGAGACTAAAATTTTATTTTGCAACAATATGTGGGGAAGATAGTAAAAATGCTGCCAGTAAAACTTGTGTGATCCTATTTAATACAAATACTTTATAAATAAGATACAAGTAGACATTGAAGAAATATAAAATCTTAAAGACATTTCCATTATAAATTATTTTTATTTGCTCTAAGTCTGCATTTTCTGTATTTTTATAATTAATTTATTATAGCTTATAATGGAGAAAAGAAATAAATGTGAGTTAGAAATAAAACTGATCTATCTTAACACAACATCCTAGTTATAAAAGTAAATTAAATGTAGAAGTATACATTTGTGTATATGTTTTTGGTTTGTTTGGGATTTTTAGATTTTTTTTTTTCTGTTTTTAATGTGTATGGTGTTTTGCCTCCTTGTATGTCTGTGCACCATGTGTGTTCTTAATGCTCTCAGAGGCTACAGGAGGGAAATGGACCTTGAACCTGGAGTTACAGATGTTGTGAACTGCCATGAGTGCTAGGATTTACCCAGGACCTTTGAAAGAGCTCTTAATCACTAGCCATCTTCCAGTCCCCCATTTGTGTATGTCTTAAAGAAAATGGTATTTTTTATTTTTGGTAAACTATTTATTTTGATTAAATTCTGTTGACAAGTGACAACCAATACATCTGATTTTAAAAAATAATTTATACTGATTATAAGTCAAAAGTTTAAATATCAAAGTTGATGATTAAAATTTCAATGTTAAGTTGAACTTGGCAGAACATAGTTTTGTTAAAAGAAGATTCTTTTGGCTTAAAAGTAAGAAGTTACAATTAGTATCATTTCTTTTTTAATTTTGGTCATATGTGTGGTTTATATTTACTTTCTGTAAATATTTAGGCAGCTGGTTTTACATGTTTTTATTTGCCAACTATTTTAATGACCACTAACTATATGTTGTTCTTAAGTACTTTTGATATACTTATCTGCTAGTATACTTCTCTCTTGTTCTTGTTGTTTTTTGTTGATTTTTGAGGCAGGGTTTCTCTGTATAGCTTTGGAGTCTGTTCTAGAACTCACTCGGTAGACCAGGCTGGCCTTGAAATCACAGAGATCCGCCTGCCTCTGACTCCTGACCCTATACTTCTCTCTTAATGAGAGGAGTGCCCACAGAGTGAGTGAGTGAGTGAGTGAGTGTGTGTGTGTGTGTGTGTGTGTGTGTGTGTGTTGAGCCAACTCTAGGTCTTCTGTGTGTTAGACAAGTCAGCTCTTCCTATGAGCACCATACCACTGCCCTAGGCAATTTAAAACTATATTATTGCAAAAACCGAATAAAGCAAAAGAAAACAATGTCAGACACTAACCTACTTTTGTTTTGTTAGATTAAGGAACTTCAGCAGGCCTTAACAGTCAAACAGAATGAAGAGCATGACCGGCAGAAGAGAATAAGCAACACCCGCAGGATGATAGAGGACTTGCAGAATGAGCTCAGGACTGCAGAGAACTGTGAGAACCTTCAGCCTCAGATTGATGCCATCACAAATGATCTGAGGCGAGTTCAGGAGGAAAAGGGATTATGTGAAGGCGAGATCATTGATAAACAAAGAGAAAAGGAGATGCTAGAGAAGCAGAAACGGAGTAAGTTTCCCAGGGGCAATGAATAGTTTATAAAATGGAGACTTGCTTATTTCCCCTAATCTCATGCTCTCATACTGATTTCTTAGATCAAACTTGAGATCTTTGATCCATTTTAATCTGTTTATCTGAATGGGTGGTGCTCCCCATCAGACCCATTATTATTGTGACACTCCTGCTTCTGCTATCACATCATATTTCAGTGTTGCTTAATTAACTTTACATATCTTAGTTTTCTCTGAGTATAGATTTTAGCTCAAATTGTCCTCTCTCTCATCTCTCTGTTTTTCGAGGCAGGGTTTCTCTGTGTAGCCCAATCTGCCCTGGAACTCACTCAGTAGACTATGCTGGCCTTGAACTCACAAAGATCCACCAGCCTCTGCTTCCCAAGTGCTGGAATTAAAGGTGTGTGCCAGTACCACCTAACCTCCTTTTTATTATTATTTCCAAAATTACTGTATTAGTAATACTGACATTTGTTATCTTAATAGTTGTCAGTATCGAGTGAACATTTTGTATGATCAGGTACGCTGCAGTAATACCATCCTTGCTTTTCATATTCATGCCTCTCCTCTCTGTCTCTCTCTGCTTTCTGTTTACAAAGTAAAGTTTTATTTGGGACCGTAATTGTATGTGCTTTCCTGACAGACTTCTAAACTCATTTACAGCCAGGTATATTATAATTGAATTGCATTTTATTGATAAGATTTTTAAGGGTTTTAACTAGCCTTTTTTAGAAAACAGCATTTGTTGCTTATCTACAAATTAAAAACAAGTTGTTATTATTTGTGTAGCTGAACATTCAGTTGCCACTGAGAACATATGCAAGTCAGAAGATAGTCTTCTGGAGTTTCGTAACAAGCACTTTTATTCATTAAGTAACAAGCATCTCACCAGCCCAGCATTTCCTTAAATTTGGAAAGAGAAAAACCTAACTATTTTTCATATTGTTTTTTTTTCAATTCTGCATCTTGCTGTCCTGCTTCCATCTAACCAGGTTGTTTCCAAGGCCTTCCCTGTGGTCCTCATCTGGGATTTGTCTCATACAACACCTGCACTGAGTAAATCTATTCCTAAATTCTGTCATCTCCTCCCAACCCCCTCCTCCTCCTCTTCTGTTTATTTTCTTACGTTGTTAGGTAACTTTCTCAGAAGAGATACTGAAAATTACACATGAAAACCATATGTGTTTTTTTGGATTACCTAAGAACATTTTAAATTTAGTATTCTCCTTTCTTGATTATGTATTCAGTTCTACACTAAAGGTGGAACTGAATATCCATTTTTTTTTCCTCTCAGAAAAAAAGAAATTCTCATGGCCCTTGCTACTCTCTCTTGTGCTAAAAAAAAAACAACAAAAGAAAACAACAACAACAAAAAAACCAGCTGCCCTACTTTTCAGTAGCTTCAGGGTCATCTTAGGTGTTATTTAGAAAGATTTTGGAAGATTTGTCCTAGGTAGTATTTATAACCTCTAGATTGAAGATACTCTGTATTGTTTATAGGTTGATATACTAATGTTTTCAGAGAAATGATACTTTTCCTTCCAATTTTAGGTGTGAGTGATCATATCATACGTTTTGACAATCTTATGAATCAAAAGGAAGATAAGCTGAGACAGCGGTACCGGGACACATACGATGCAGTATTGTGGCTGAGAAATAACAGAGATAGGTTTAAGCAAAGAGTCTGTGAGCCCATAATGCTCACGGTAAGAAATTTTACTTATTTTGTGGTATCAGTTAGCTTTACTATTAGGGTAAATGCAGATTTTGTTGATATAAGAAGTCTTATTTTTGTTAAGACCCTGAGGTTTTTTTTCTTTTTTGTTTTGAGACAGGGTTTCTCTGTGTAGCCTTAGCTGTCCAGAACTCCCTCTAAAGCCTAGGCTGGTCTTGAACTCATGAGATCCGTCTGCCTCTACCTCCCTCCTGAGTGCTGGTATTAAAGGTGGACACCACCACCCACCTAAGACCCTGGTTTTTCCTCATTGGACTTGTAGTTGCAGGACTAAGTCCACACATGAGCTTTTTAAAGTGCCCTTGAACCATAATAGTATATAAAGCCAATGGATTTTTTTTTTTTTTTTTTCTGGGACGAGGTTTAAAACCAAAGGGGCTGGAGAGATGGTTCAATCTATGAAGTACTGATCATGCAAACATGAAAACCATAGTTTGAGCTCCAAAAAATATATAAAAAGAAGGTAGACGCTGGCAGTGGCATGCCTATAATCCCAGCACTGAGGAAGCAGACAGTAGGATCTCTGGCCATCTAGTCTAGCTAGATTTACAACTCCAGGTTCAGTGAAAGACGCCATCTCAAAACCAGATAAATTGAAGCAAAACTGAGGAAAACACCCTACATCAGCCTCTGGCATCTATGTGTATGAACATACACGGGCACACACACCCCATAAAAAGATAGGAAATTTGGGATTTTCTAACCTAAAATCATGCCTAAAATAAGCTTGCTTGACTAGTTTTTAGATTATAGTATTATATTAAAAACTGCTTAAGAGGCAGAAAACTGCTATAAAAAAAATGTTGATAAGTGATGCTCGATAAGATAACCAAGAAAATATCTCTTACAAAAGCATTCTGAGGATTTTGTGAATGAAGCAAGTGATTGATAGTGTTGATGACTGGATCATTGGGAATAGAAAAGCTGTGGCAAATAATGTAGTGAAATTTGGTCATGAATTTAATAGAGTGAGTTCCATCAGACTATTAAGTGATTAGTTTGGCTTTATAAAATAGGTTGAATAGAGTATATAGAAATTTTTCATTTAAAAAATGTGAAATAGGAGGCTGCATCAACCAGATGATCTCAAGAGTGATATCTGCTATACTTGCTGGTCTGCATCTTACTCCTTTGTGAAGGTGTAACTAAAATTCTCTTAGTTATTAAATAAAAAATAGTTTATTTTCCACTGAATACCAGAAAGAAAGGAGCAGGATTCTAAGAAACAGAAAGTTGAAGAACCAATGTGTTATATAAAGTTTACTTAAGGATATGCATTTACCTGGAGGAAAAAGACAAATTATCCATTGATAGAATTACACAAACTGGCTGTTGACCAAAATGACTACTTTTGAGATTTTAAAGAATTGGCCATGGAATGAACTGCTTACCAAGATGAGGGCTTTTGGTTCTCAAGTGGAAAGATATTTCTAATAATTATAACCTGGAAAAACTTAGGAACCAAATCCTATGCTGGCTCATCCAGAACAATTATTTTTGTTCATTCTAGAAGTTAAAGTGAGCATCAGCTTACGTTTGCATTCATTTGTACTTCTTCCCATAATGAATTGAATATGAAAAAACATGCAAAATGACAAGCCCCAGATGTTTATAGAGGGTGTGCTTAAATGATTGTATCTTACATAGATGTTGTCTGTCTGCATTCCCATTTTCTACACTTACTGATGTTTTCTGGAGAATAGTATGCCAATGTTTTATAACAAACCTTTTTTTTTTTTAACCATACTATCTTTTTAAAAAAAAAAAAAAAAACCACTATTAGGGCCTATTACATAGTAGGCAAGTGCTTTCCCACTAAGCTATATCCCCAGACCAAAGCCCTGTTTAAAAATAGCTTGTTTCATGATATAGCATCTTTTGTGAATACCTTGTCTTTGATCTAGCTCTCCTGTAAAATCTAATAGCACTTTCTAGTATATCTTTGTAATGAGAACTGTGTGGTGCTTTCCTTTGTATTTTGCTCATCCGTTTGTAATAAAGATTTAATATTATTGAGACAGTCCTCCCCTCACCTGTCTTAATATCGTCCATAGAAGTGAGCCACTTGTGCTGAAATGCCTAATTAGTAAATATTTTTAACATGTTAGTAGAAGTTGTGTGTGGTGGTATATGCCTATGATACCAGCACCTATGAGATTGACGTGAGAGGATCACAAGTTTGAGGTTTGCAGCACAAGCCACGTAATGAATTGCAGGTAGAATCACATAGTAGTAAAAAAAAATTATGTTGTAGTGATGCAAACTTTTACTTCTCCAAGGCTCAAATAGGTGATTGACATAACAAGTTTTTTCTATGTATTTTATGAAGGGTTTTTTTTTTTTTTTAATGGTTTTGTACCCATTAAACTATTGCCAAGTATAATAAGAAGTTTTTGTCAAGATTAAGAAAATCTTGGCCAGGTGGTGGTAGGACACTTCTTTTATCCCAGCATTTGGGAAGCAGAGACAGGCAGGTCTCTGTGAGTTCAAGGCCAGCCTGGTCTACAGAGCTAGTTCCAGGACAGGCTCCAAAGCTATAGAGAAACCCTGTCTTGGGGGGAAAAAAAGAGGAGGAGGAGGAAAGTAATAAGTTTAGGGAAAGATGATGAGAACTGTTTATATTCGTAGGTAACAGTCTCCAACTTCAGTGAGTTAACCAGAAGAAAACTAAAGCTCTTTCTAAGATAATTTAAAACTCCTTGTGCATCAGATCTTCATGTGTTTTTCTGAGTAACAAATAAAATGTTTTGAAATTACTTAGCAGTAAATTTAATCTGATTAAATAAATCCAAGATATATTGCATACACTCTAATATCAGTGGATTTCAGAAAAACTAATTTTCCCCTTTTTTAGATTAATATGAAAGATAATAAAAATGCAAAATATGTTGAAAATCATATTTCATCAAATGACTTAAGAGCCTTTGTGTTTGAAAGTCAAGAAGACATGGAGGTTTTCCTCAAAGAGGTAGGTACTAACCAATAATATGTTCTCATTGACATGGCCCCTTCTTATTTTCTCCTTTATGGGTTTGAATTCTCCTTGTGTATTCTCTGGAAAAATATCCCCTTCCTTATCCTCAGTATACTTACTCATTTTTTTAATGTAAAATGACCTGAAAGAGGTTTTAGAATGTTAATATGTGCATCACAAGTGAAACCCCTTCATTCTACTGCCTCAGCATTCATTGTTTTATGTTTTGCAGGATGTAAAACGTATGTGGTTCAGGTTTGGGGTTTTTTTGTTTGTTTGTTTTGGTTTAGCTTGGGTTTTTATTCCCTTTGAAGTAGAGATTTGTTGTGTTGTTTTGTTTTGTTTTGTTTTTGTTTTGTGGGTTTGTTTTTTTTTTTTTTTTTTTTTGGTTTTTTTTTTTTTTTTTTTTTTTTTTTTTGGTTTGATTTGGGTTTCTTTGAAACCAAGTATCTTACTCACCTAAAACTCACCAGTTACAGTAGGCTGGTTGGCCAGCAAAGTCCAAGAGATCTTCCTGTCTCCACCAACCCATACCTCCCTAAGGCAGTACAATAGAGCCAACCCTGTTAGTGCAGGTGTAGATGAACCAGCCCCAAAACTGTAAGCAAAAGAGAGCTGCCCCCATTTCTCATCTGTCTTATGGAGGCATGGATGTGGGAAGTAGCCCTTCCCACACCCATCAATGCCTCGGACAAATGGGAGGTCTCTGTACCTGTCCATTGCTTTGGTTATAGATACATGCTGCCCTAGCCAGCTTTTATGTGAGTTAATGTTAAGAGTTATGAACTCATGAGAAGTACTTTATGCACTCCCTAGCCTCTCCCGTCCAGCCCCCCTCCCACTTCTGACTGTTGCTTTCTCATGGTCCACTGGAAGTTTTCCATGTATTTATGGTTGAAGGATCAGCCAAATATTAAAACAGGTTTGAGTATTCTGAGGTCTCTCACTTGGCAGAATCCTGCCAAGAATTTACCCTTTCATTTACATAGCCATTCTGGTCACCACAGATGCCATCCTCTGATTTCTTCAAGCCACAGACTACATCTTTGTACATAAATTTCCATTCCTATAACTCTCCTGCTTGATTAGGGAATGTTCTCAAGTCACATAAACTCAGATTGTAGTTAGTTCCATCTCTCTAGTTTGTTTTCCCCGTGCTTTAATAGTTATTATTTGAAATTTTGCCTAGAGTTTATAATCATTTTTGGCAGATAGGTAAGTGAAATAATCTGTTTTGTTGTTGTTGTTATTGTTGTTGTTTTTAAGATAATTTATTATGTATAGTGTTCTGTCTGCATGTATCACTGAAAGCCAGAATATGGCATCAGATCTCATTACAGATGGTTGTGAGCCATCGTGTGGTTGCTGGGAATTGAACTCAGAATCTCTGGAAAACCAGCTAGTGTTCTTAACCACTGAGCCATCTCTCCAGCTCAAGATAATCTGTTATTCATGGAAGTATAGCTACCATCTATATATTTTGAAGCCAAGTCCAGACATCCTGTTTCATCTGAAAATTCAGTACATATTTCTGAAAGAAATGGACTCTCAGATTGGTGTAGGGGCACATACCAGTAATCCCAGCCCCTGAGAAGCTGAGGCAAAAGATAGGGAGTTTGAGGCTATCCTGGAGTACATAGTGAGTTTCTGTCCACAGAATAAGTAAGACCCTGTCTTGAGCAGGGAAATCAAAAGCAGAATAACCCGTAAAGTAGAAAAGCTCATAATGAATTTAGGGGGGTAAAGTTAAAGGGAAATTATAAAAGATAATGCTTTGCTTAAATTTCTGATCATCCTAGCAATGCCAGTGGGAATATGGTTAAGCACGTGGTAATTAATACTGTCTTTTTCCTGAATTTAGGTTCGTGACAATAAGAAGTTAAGAGTAAATGCTGTTATTGCTCCCAAGATTTCATATGCAGACAAAGCACCCTCAAGATCTCTGAATGAGTTAAAGTAAGTTGAAGGTATTATTAGAACTAATTTGAACACTGAATAATTTTAAATGACATTTAATTCTTAATGTAATATGTTTGTTATAAGCTGTATTAGATCTGCTGAAGTGTCAGGTTGGGAAAAGTTCAGGCTTAAGAATATGCCAAATCTCATGTTCCATAAAGGTGATTTTTCAAATTAGTAGAGAACGGTATTGGATTAGTTAAAGAAACATACTAAATGTCTTTTACTAAAGTTAAAAGATATAAGCTAGCCATTGGAAATAAGCAGTAATGAATCATTTTCTAATGCAAAAATAATTTCTGTGACAAGTGGTGGTGGCACACACCTTTAGTCCCAGCATTTGGTGAGGGAAGCAGACAGAAAACACAAGCTTCCTTCTTCCATGTCCTTTTATGTGGGCTGCCACCAGAAGGTATGGCCCAGATTTAGGGTGGGTCTTCTGACCTCAAATGATCCAACCAAGAAAAGGTCCTCACAGGTGAGTCCATCTGTTAGTTCAAGGCCAGAGCCAGGGCTTTTAAATAGAAAAGCCCTGAGTTAATAAAACCAAAAATTATAATATTAATAATTTCTGTAAGGACTAAATGTAAAGAAACAGTTTTATACAATTATATGTAAATATCTGATCTCTGGATATAACTAGACATTCTTAATATAAAAAAGGTAAGAACAGGAACAGGAAAAATAGTCTATAAAAAATAGATTGTAATCATAAAAGGCTTAAACTTAGCAGCAAAGAAAAAAATAGAACAAGTGATTTTAAAATCCTCTACCATTGTTAAAATGTCTTAGTTACTTTTCCTTTTTTCCTTATTTTTTGGATTTGTTTGTTTTGTTGTTGTTGTTTTGAGACAGGGTAGCTTTGTCTGTTCTGGAACTCACTGTGTAACAGGCTGGCTTCCAAGTGCTGAAATTAAAGGCATGTGCCACCACTTCCAGCTTTAGTTACTTTTCCATTGTTATGAAGAGACACCATGACAAAGACAACTTATAAAAAAAAGAATGTGATTAGGGGCTTGCTTACAGTTCCAGAGGATTAATAGAATCCATGACCACCATGGTGAGGTGTGTGGCACCTGGCAGGCAGGCATGGCACAGGAGCAGTAGCTGATCCACTGGCACAAGGCAAAGCGAGAAACTGGGCCTGGTATGGACTTTTGGAACCTCAAAACCCACCCCCAATGACAACTCCTCCTCCAATAAGGCCACACTTCCTAATCCTTCCCAAACAGTTCTACCAGCTGGGATCAAATATTCAAGCATGAGCCTATGGGGGCCTTTCTCACTCAAACCATGGCACAGTAGTTACTTACTGCTTATTGACTGCTTGTCAGAAATCAGGTTGTATGTCTGAGGATACATGCGTGTACCTCTGGTGACAACCTCTGGTTTGATTTCTCATACTTTTCCATTCTCAAATGGTTTTTGGTGTGGGGGAAAGGACAAAATCTCATACTGTCCTGGAATGTATCCAGTAGGGTAGACCGTGTTGCTTGAAGCCCCAGTGATCCAATGTCTCCACCTCCCCATTGGCATAATAAGCCAATGCCATTTGCCTGGAGATTTTGTATGGGTAGTGGGACCTGAACTTCAGTCCATTGCACCCAGACTTTCTTGTTGTACTTGCAAGGCAAGCATTTCATCTGCTGAGCCATCTCCTTAGCCTACTAATCAGGTTTTTAAAGTAATATTTTAAGAAGAAAAACCAAATCAGTCCTTTTCTTTTCAGACAGTATGGCTTTTTTTCATATTTGCGAGAGCTATTTGATGCACCTGATCCTGTGATGAGTTACCTTTGCTGCCAGTATCATATTCACGAAGTTCCTGTGGGAACTGAGCGGACCCGAGAAAAAATTGAACGGGTAAGAAAGTGAAGATGTAGAAACTCTTCGTATTTAACAGTTGTAATAGGACATAAAACTGTGGCTATTAATGACCATTTTAAATAACAGAAGTGAAACAAGTTACCTAGAACAAATTAATAAATACTTTTATTTTTAGAAGAATTGAGTAAAGTTAAAACCTGGAATGCCTGTATGCTCTTAGCTGTTTCTGCCTTGCTTGATATGTATATGGTAATTTAATCTTTAAAAATCTTATACTCTGCCAGGCTGTGGTTCACACATTTAATCCCAGCACTCAGAAGCCAGAGTCAGGTGGATCTCTGTGAGTTCGAGGCCAGCCTGGTCTCCAAAGAAAGTTCTAGGACAGGCTCTAAAACTACAGTGAAACCCTGTTTTGAAAAACCAAGATGGATGGATGGATGGATGGATGGATGGATGGATGGATGGATGGATGGATGGAAACATGGATGGAAGGAAACATGGATGGAAACATGGATAGAAACCTTTCACTCTAGATTAGATTATCTTTCAAGTGTACTTAGAATGGTAGACTGGGATGTAGGTCTATTCTGGTAAGCTTTCATCTTCTTAAAGCTTTTATTTAAGACTCTCTCAATAAACAAATGGCCATTTTTCACAAGATCTTATTTTCTTAGCAGATATATCTATAAGCTTTTTTGTAAGCAGGGACAGAACAAATCTCTCTTAGAACAGGCTTTTCTTTTTTTTATTTGTAAGAGGTTTGTTGTTGTTAGTTTTGCTTTTGCTTTCTGAGACAGAATGTCATGTTCCCAGGCTCTCCTTAAAATTACTGTGTAGCTGAGTCTGATCTTGAATTCCTTTATCTTCTTTCTCAGCCTCCCAAATGCTGAAATTATAGTTGTGCACCATCATGACCAGCATGGGCTGTTTGTTTGTTTTTCATACTGCTAAGTTTATGTTTTGATACTTTTTGTGAACTGAGAATTAATTACAGACCTACCTTCAGTTCTCTTCATTACCCTCCTTTATGTTGTTTCCAAAACACTTACCTGAGATACATTAAACCACATTTCAGAGATGTTGGTTAGGTAATGTTATTTTATGTCTGGTATATTAGTCTTCTAGAATTCTCCTGGTTCATGTTTTTAATTCTTTAGTCCTTTAAAACATATATCATAGTTTTTATTAGAATGTTCATGAATTCCTACTTTACATTATAGGTAATACAAGAAACTCGGTTAAAACAAATTTATACAGCAGAAGAAAAGTATGTGTTAAAAACTTCTTTCTATTCAAATAAAGTTATTTCTAGTAACACATCCCTGAAAGTAGCCCAGTTCCTCACTGTCACGGTGGATCTAGAGCAAAGAAGACACTTGGAAGAACAGCTGAAGGTTGGTTCACTGCATAGTTATTAAGTTGTTGGATGGGTTTTTAATACTTTGGAACTTTAAAAGTTTTTGTTAACAATTTGCATATCCCATAGGAAATTAATAGAAAATTGGAAGCAGTAGAATCAGGATTGGTGGCCTTGCGTGATACAAACAAGCATCTCGAGCTCAAAGACAATGAGCTAAGACTGAAGAAAAAGGAACTTCTTGAAAGAAAAACCAAAAAAAGACAACTGGAGCAGAAAATCAGCTCCAAGCTGGGAAGGTATCTTGTAGCTTTGAATGGGGATCTCAGCAAAACACGGCCTGAGTGCCTACTAGTTAATTAATTAATTAATTAATCCTATAATTAATTAATCCTATAATGTCAACAACAGTTTAGAGTAATTTCTAAAGTTGTAGTATTAATGCTCAAATTTTGATACTAAAAGTACAATTGTGATGCCAAGGGCAATCAGACTAAACTGTTTTCTTTCTAGTCCTTTGACCCATTTAATGCCTATGTGTTTAGAAAACAGAAATTATATTGGCACAGGAAAATGGCAATTGTAGGTTCTTTCCTAAGGCCTGTGACCTTTCCAGCCATGGGTAATTGATTAGGTTTATAAAACCAGGCATGGAATACCTCCTATTAAGTGGACCTAAAGTCCAATTAGATAGTTATTGGTTACCGCCAAGATAAAAGTGCACTGTTAAGGATATTTTGCTTGTCTGGTAAACATGCCAACAAGGACTGGGGATATTTCACAAGGCCCACCTGTAGATAAAGAGCTACAAGTAGTCAATGGCTGCTGAGAGAGGGGGAATCAGTTTTCTCTGGGGAAGAGCTTCTTGATAGATTATCTAATCCCAGTGGTCAGCCCTAAATACATGTACATATGAAAAACGTTAATGGACACACACACGCACACGCACACGCACACACAGGTGTGGGGGTGGGGATAATAAGTAGTGAATTTGAGAGGGATGGGGCATAAACATATGAAAAACGTTAATGGACACACACACGCACAGGCACACGCACACACACGGGTGTGGGGGTGGGGATAATAAGTAGTGAATTTGAGAGGGATGGGGCATAGAGTAGTTGGAGGATGGTAAGGGAGGGTGTGGAAATAATGTGATGCAGTAAGTGTACTAATTTCTTGGAAAATAAATTTAGCTTAAAAGAAATCAGAAAATAGTTTTTTTTTTTTGAGGAAGAAAACAAAAGTATGTTAGGAAACTTTTCTTTGTGCCTAATCTTTTTAAGCAAATAGCTGCTTCTCTAGGTTTTCTTTTTCAACTTTTGGCCTTGTTTATCACCTTCAACCCTTCACTTTAATCCTATCTTCAACTGTTGATAAACCACTTAAACTTTACTGTGTGACTCCACTTAAACTGTGGACATATTGCTTAAAACTTCATTTAAATCTGATTTTACTAACACAGTGACTTTTCCATGACCAGCCCACTAGTTTTACTCGTGTCCTTTGTATACTTTGTGCTCCTGTGGTGATGGTTGGTCTCTCCATGCAGTTCATCCAAAATACTATCGCAAAAGCCTTTTTTATTTGTACTTTAAAAAAATTTGCCAGCCTCCACCTCGTGCTTCATAAGACGGCTTCCATAGTTACTCAGAATCGTGTTTTCCTCTCCAGCACCTCTTCCTTGTACACCGTCTACTGCACTTGATGCTTCTTGTTTATTACTACTTCTGTCCTTTCTTTAGCCCCTTGGAGGGAGGCATCTTGGCTTAGTGGGAAAACCGTGGACACCAAATTAGTGTTAAACTTATCCTACCACTTAATATCCATAAACTTAGGTGATTTACTTAACTTTTCAATCTTTGTTTCTTAATCTTTAAAATTATTTTAATGATAATTTTAGGACTCTTGTATGGGGGTCAGGCTTAGCTCCTGTGGGTCAGGCTGGCCTCACACTTGCTGTAGAGCTGAGAGCCCTTAAACTTGTGATATTCCTGCCTCTGCCTCATCACCACTCCTGATTAATGCTGCTGGGTGAGGGGGCGGGGCATTGAGTCCAGGTCTTCATGCTTTGTTAGGCAAGCACTCCACCACCTGAGCTACATTCCCAACCCTGTGTTGATTTTTCTTTTGTTTTTACCTATGATCAGCTCTACCTGCTTAAGGATTGTGTTTCATGAGCATTGTAGTAACAACTTATATTAATAAATAAATTCTGGGTCACGTATTATGCTATGTGTGTGTGTGTTTTCTCCAAAGTTCAGTGGGAAGAAGTTTTATGCTCTACAGTTTATAGATGAAAAGGCTAGAGCTGTAAGGTTTAACTTGTCAAGTTCTGCTTATTGGTGAATAACAAAGGGGAAATTCAAGCTCCTTTTCTGACTCCACATTCTGCATCAGCACCATTACTAACCCTAGACTGCACTGGTCATATAGCACCACAATATATTTTGATCCTGAGTGATTGCATTAAGAGATGCTTGATCTAGGAGCTAGCATTTTTTACTTCTGATTATCATTACTGTGTAACCAAAAAAGTTCAGGGGACCTAAGGCTTTTGGCTTGATCCTGTATTTAGTTCTGATCTCTCCATCATTATGTGTGTTTGTTGTACAGTATAAGGCTGATGGAACAGGATACTTGCAATCTGGAAGAGGAAGAACGAAAAGCAAGTACCAAAATCAAAGAAATAAATGTTCAGAAAGCAAAACTCGTTACTGAATTAACAGGTCTAGTAAAGGTAAGATATTTTCTTAATTTTTGACATTTTTTTAAAAAATACCTGCTACATACTAAAATTTAGTAATTTTTAGAGGATTTTGTGGGAAATAATCTCTTAAGTGTTTTTCTGTCTTAGTAATAATAAGCAAGAGATTTTTATAATTAGTTTAAGCTTATAGAGAATTTTAAACATTAACTCATTAGGCTAAATTATGTTTTTCAGATGACTTAAGTATATAGGAAATTACTTTTTTAAAAGTAGTTTTACACTGAACTATTTTGTGGAGATATCAGTCACAGAAGGAAGATGTTCATTTTTCTTGAGTCATAATTTTTTTTGAAAAAAACAACTATGGTGTTTTTCATAGTTGTAAAACATAGGCAACATAAAAATAAAATTCTTACGGGTTGTTTGTTTATAGATTTGCACCTCTTTGCATATACAAAAAGTCAATTTGATTCTTCAGAATACTACAGTGATCTCTGAGAAGAACAAATTAGAAGCAGATTACATGGCATCATCTTCACAGCTTCGTGTCACAGAGGTAATATATTTTTGCCCTTTTTTTAAAATTTTGGAATCCATCTTCAAACCAGTTTGAAAGTATATATTACATACTATCATTTGCAATGTGCAGTTGTTGTATACTATATAATTTAAATTTGAGTCCAGCAAAGTAGCCCATTGGTTAAAAGTGCTTGCCACATAATGGCGATGTCCAAAGTTTAATCTCCAGAACCCAGGGAAAGGTAGGAGAGAGCTGACTCCACAGAACTAGTGTATATACACCTGTGCTCTCATACATAATAATAATCATTATTAATAAAATAAAACAATACAGTTTGTTAATAAGGGAACAGTACTTGATGTGTAAGAGTGGGTTGATAATCACAACAGTATAACCTTAACTTTAATATTTTGCAGTAGAATGATAAAATTGTGCAGGCGAAAGAAGTGGGGAATAATACACAAACTTAATTCTAAAGATGTAGCATCAAGGTGGTAGTGACAGTTATTTTTCATTTTTGTTTTTGTTGTTATTTAGTTTTTAATCTCCAAATTCCTTTCTCAAAAATAGAACACTTTTTCTTCTAAGCATTCATGGACAACCTGTGCAGTAACAGAATTGAACTTTAAGGAATCCCTGTCAGTTATCTACAGTCCTGTTCTGATGCTGACCACATGAATTTAGCACCAAATTGGACAGTTTATAAAGAATACCCCAGGCAGGGCGTTGGTGGCACACGCCTTTAGTCCCAGCACTCAGGAGGCAGAGGCAGGCGGATCTCTGTGAGTTTGAGGCCAGCCTGGTCTCCAGAGTGAGTGCCAGGATAGGCTCCAAAGCTACACAGAAACCCTGTGTCGAAAACAAGCAAGCAAAAAAGAATACGCCAGTAGACCACTCTTTCTTAATTCACTGGCTATAAGTTCAAGCATCCTAAACCATCTGTACTTCTGACCCCCTACTGCAAAACCCTGGTTGTCCATGGCACCTTCATGGTTGGTAATTTACTAGAAGAACACAGGACTCTGAACAACACTGATTTTTATCATAAAGAGACATATAGAACAACATCTAAGAGGGTCCTGAACTGACTCTCAATGCCCTTCATGAGTCATGCTGTGTCACTTTACTGATGATTCTTTGTGCTTGCCATCCAGGAAGCTGCATCACACTGCAGAGTTCCTATTGAGTTTATTTCATGAGCATAGTTGCACCATTAGCCATGTGGTTGTGCTCAGTCTCCAGACCTGTCTTAAGTTTGGGAAGTCATTTTAAGTGCTGATGTCATATGGTTCAAAACTCTCTAACTATAAGGTTAGTCTTTCTGGCATTGCCCATTAACATCCTAAGTGAGTTCACCCCTTAAAATAAATACACTCAGGTGTGAGCCAAGGAATTCTTGAATAAATAATAATCTCTCAGCACTCATTTTCAAAGACTAATCATATTCTTCATTTCCACTTGAGAACTCCAGAATGCATGGTGCAACGTAAGTCTATAGGAACATCAAAACTATCCTGAATGTTACTAAGAACCCTAAATCAAACTGCCAGCAAGTTCTCTCTCTTGAGATGAGGCCTCATTAACCATGGAAAGGTCAGCAGTCCAGTATGAAAAGAGCTGAAACTGAGAGAGGTATTCCAAACTAGAGAGCAGTCTAATAATGTTGGTATTGTCTAGACTTAAGAATCTCAAACTCCTTTGAAAACCTCACTGAAGAGTAAGAGCTACATTATGAAGGGACAGTGATACATGTACTAAATGCAGTTATAAATCAGATATATAGCTAAATTCTCTGAAGAGGAAAAGTATGAATAAAATGGCATATATTTACTGTTGGTTGTTTTAGATACCAGTATTATTATATCAATTGATGCTTTAGGATAGGGAAATAAGGAGTGTTTCAATATTTTTCATTGTGAGGAGCCAACAGGTAATTTCTCTCCCAAGAAGGAGGTATGAATAGTATGTAAAGTATCTGCACAAAGTTAGTGATATACAAAGAAGAGGTGTTAAGAGCAGGGACAGTAGAACTCAAGAGTAGATGTAAAAATTACTGCTGCAAAACACGGGTGGAATTAAAGCCAGGCAGATGCATGACTACAATCACAACACTTGGGAGGCTGTGAGTTTGAGTTTAAGAGATTGAGACCAGCATAGGCAACATGGAGCCCCATCTCAAATAAATAGCCAAATATACATCAGATTATTAAATTTAAATGCTACAATTTCTCTACCAAAACATTTTTTAGGCAAATTCTAACATCAACAGAATATGAAACACATAAAAGAAAAAATGTTTCAGAAAGGGAAAAAGTAGAAGAATCATGGCTACAGTTATCTTTTTAGAGTGGTAAAAATATAACATTGGATTTATAATATTTTTACAGATGTGTAGATTTACTAATAATCACTGACTAGTACACTTACACTTATGATTTTATATAAATTCATGAAGTCTGTTAAGGAGTAGGAAACTAAAGTCTTATCTCTTTATTGGGAAGGTACTGTCATCTTACATATATTACTAAGTGAAAAATAAAAAAAGGAGATGTATATAGTATTTCCACTTTGTAAGAAATGGTCAGGGGAGTGTGGTAAAGCCCCACGGGGACAGGCCAGTAACTTTCCTCCTTGTTCATGGGGTCGAAAATGAGCCTAATCTATATTCCTTTTAGTGGTTAGGGTTTTTTCCCTACGTTGAAATAACCTACAAATAAAATTAATTTTTCTTCAAAACAAAAGCAAAATGAAACAAATACATCTAAATTTGTGTTAAGTTAGCAGCATAGCCTCACAGAGAAACAGTATTCCAGAATAATTTGATTCTAAACAGAAAAGGAATTTCAAAAAGCATCTTAACCTGTTTTCAGTAATTAAGCTGCTAGTATCTGTAGTGTTGTACAAGTGAAGAAATAAATGATGCCATTGGAATACTTAGCCTAATAGAAAACAGTTTCAGTGTAAAATAAGGATGTTAAATAATAAAAGCTTTGAAGACTGAGTTAGGAATAACCAGGATAGCTTCACAATGTATTTTCTCTAAATGGGGCTGGGAGGAGTGGGTGGACAAGCCTGGCATGGTGGTATATGGCTTTAATGCCTGCACTTAGGGGACTGTGTCAAGTAAATTTGAGGACACCCTGTGCTACATAGTGGACTCTTATTTCAGAAAGAAAAGAAAAATCACCTGCCACCAAGAAAGTAATACATTTCCTCATTCCATTTGCATGGCCTCCTAAGTACTGTTTTGTACTGAAATGGCTCATTGGGAAAAAAAAAATTGTTGATTCCAAGTCTAGGAAAAAATATGTATGTGAATAATTTTAGGTAAACTTCTATGATTTTGTCATGCATGATAACAAAACAAAGAACCCCAGATGACTCTTATGATCTTGTTAGACTTTTTTTATTTTTTATATATTTGAATTACAAACAAGATTGAATTACATGGCAATCCCAGTTCCCTTCTCCCTCCCTTCCTCCTCTACCACCCCCTTAAACTCAAATCCTACCTTTCTTCTAATCTACACCTGACTTAAAATTTCTGCTTCCTCGTGACCTCTGCATCTTTCCTTTTCTTCCCTTCTCACTCTCTTTGCTCAGGGGATGGTGACCCTTTCCCCTGAGTTGACCCTTTCTTGGATCTCGTAAGACTCTTAAGTGGCCATAGGAATGTAAATTGACATTTAGAATGATTCTTTAAAAATCTTACTAGATTAGAGAATATTTAGAAAAGCCAGTTTACTATTTTGAATAATTCTGGAAAATTAAGCATTCATTTGTTTGTTTGTTTTTAAATAGTGGGGGTGGGATAAGTGAAGGGCTTGCTTTTTTTTTTTTTTTTTTTTTTTTTTCCTTTCAAAAGCCAAAAACCCATCACTATGTAGACCAGACTGGCCTTGAACCCATAGAAATTCACCTGCCTTTGCCTCCCAAGTGCTATGATTACAGAGGTTTAATTGTTTATGTGTGTGCATGCATGTCTGAGTGTGTCTGCAATGTTTGTGCAGATGCCTGCAGAGGCCACAAGAGGGTGTTGGCTCCCCAGGAGCTAGAGTCACAGAGTTGTAATCTTCTGCAAGAGCAGTGTATGCTCTTAATTGCTGAGTTATCTCTCCAGCCCCATTTCACACATTTCATATGTGAACTATTCATTATTAGAAATATAAAAATAAGTTTGATTTTATAAACATATTTTAACTGATAAATGAAGAAGAAATTACAGTATTAGAGATATGTGTCCTGATGACATATTATCACTTTTGAAATGACACTGGGAAATAATCAAATTTCTGTCTGTATAATATATAATGCCAAGCACAGCACCATGTCTGGAACCTAGTGCTGAGGGAGCAGACAGGTGAATCACTTAATAACTTTTTATGCAGTTTTATGTATCCCTCACCTGAAAAAGTTAGTTCTCAGAAGCATTTCTTTCCCTTATCTGATTCAGATTTTGTAGATTTGTATTATACATATTGAAATGCCTTTGGGATGGGATCAAAGGCAAAACACATCACATTATGTTTTATGTACACATCATACACATAACCTGATACCACTGTCTGCTACAACGGTTTTGACTTTGGCTTACCATGGGTAAAGAAAGTGAGGAACTTTCTACTTGCGGCATCATAACAGTGTTTCAGATTAGGAACTCAGATTTTCAGATAGGGATGCTCCAGCTATACTGCAGATTTCTTTAAACATAGATCATAACTTGCAAGCTTGTGTATTAAAAAGTCAGTTTAGGACTATGATTTTTAAATCCCAAATGGATAGGAAAATTTCAAGTTAACATTTAAGAAAAATATCTAATGATTTTCATATTTTCAGTTATGTGTTGTGTCTAGTATTGAAGACACGGTTAGCAGTCAATCAGATTGGAGCTGGAATGTAGGGACAGTCAATCCCATCACTGAAAGAAATGAAGAAATAATTTATAGCCAGTGTTTTACTAATGGCATGCACCTAGAACTTTAATTCTATTCATATAGGAAGTAGTTTTTATTTTGTTTGAATCTTATTTTATTTAA